AACGAGCGTCGTGGCATCATCAGAAGAGAAAGGAAGAAAGGAGTTCTCCCTTAAAGCTTTCACTGCCCACAGAAACAAAGCACAGGCAGCCGCAGGCAGTACCAATGGAAACCAATGGGTCACAGTTTCAGTTTAGCAACACCCTGCTGATGAAACTGAGACAAAATAAAACATGCACCAGGGGTTGTTTTCATTATAGAGAAGCAAGAAGGCATGGATGTGAAAAATTACCTGGGCTCTGGAACCTGAGAGCCTGACTTTGAGTCCCAGCTCCTCTAGGTAAATAGCTATGTGGTCTTAGACAAGTTTTTTAATGTCTCTGAACCTCAGTTGTTACTATATGGAAAATGAGACTAACAAATCAATAATAGTACCTATACTCCATAAGGTTGTTATTTGCAAATAGTAATTTCTTTTTTTTTTTAATTATTAATTTATTTGAGAGGCAGAGTTAGAGAGAGAGAGAGAAAGAGAAAGTGAGCATGTGTACTCTTCCATCTGCTGGTTCACTCCCCAAAAGGCTGTAATGGCCGGAGCTGGGCTGATCTGAAGCCAGGAGCCTACAATGTCTTCCAGGTCTCCCACATGGGTGTGGGAGCCCAAGTCCTTGGACTATCTTCCACCACTTTCTCAGGCCATTAGCAGGGAGCGGGATCAGAAGTGGAGCAGCCAGAGCATGAACCAGCACTCGGGATGCTATGGGATGCTGGCACCACAGGCAGAGGCTCAACCTACTACACCACAGCACTGGCCCCAACAAATAGTAACTTCTAAGTGCTGGGCACATGATTGATCCTAAATTAGTGTTTGGAAGAAAAAAATAATTATTAAGATCCAATACTCACTTAAAAACAGCTTATATGCAACCTCATGCCTAACAACCTGCCCCTGGTATTGCCATCATAAATCTGAAAGGAGCCTTTATTTTTAAGTTGTTTTCTAGGAACTCAGCTGCCAACCAACATATCCTTCTCTTGATCACCACAACTGTACAGGTCTAAAATCCAGAGGTCAAGGGCAGTGTTCAGCCTAGCAGTGAAGAGGCCGGTTAAGTCACATCAAAGTCCCAGCTTTGCTCCCAATTCCAACTTCCTGCTAAGGCAGACTGTGGGAAGCAGCAGTGATGGCTCAAGCCAACAGATTCTTATCACTCACAGGGGAAGGTCTGCACTGAGTTGTTGCATGCTAGCTTCAGTTTGTTCCAGGCGTGGTCACTGTAGGCATTTCAGGACTGAACCAGCAGATGGGAGCACCCTCTGTCAGCCTGTCTGTCTGTCTGACTCTCTTCTTCTCCCTCTATTCCTCTTTCTTCTCTGCATCTCTCTTTCTCAAATATTTAGTCCAGAGGTCATTGTGACAAAGTGAAAACGGGAAGAGCAGATTTTCCACACAGCTAATCACTGTGTAATTATCCCCAGAAAAAAAATGAAAGCAAAACGCATTGTTTACGGCACACACATTGCATCTGGTTATTTTCCAATCTGGTGCGTCTGGACAAGAAGACACAGAATGGGACAGGAGTACAGCCAGGCCTGGCTCCCATGCAGCTAAATCAAGTGGCAACCACCATCATGAACCATGGCTCTCCCTGCTCCTCAATACTGAAGGCTCAGAAACATGGTCTTGGCACCACATTCATTCATTCAACAGTTAGCTGTAGAGCATCTACTTTGTGCCCAGCAGTGGAGACAGGCAATGTGAAGAGCACAAGTATCAAAGATTACAACAGCTGTCTATTTTCATGAAGCTACCAATCTGGCAAAGACTGATACTAAAAGTCAAATGTGCATAAACTAAAGCTTAAAAAAAAAGTAGTCAATAGATTGATTTACAATGAGGGAAGCTTGGGTAAACCAGAATTCCCATTGCTACAACCCATTTTTTTTTTAATATATATAACCATACCCACATAGGTATGGACACTTGTGATTCAAGCAAGGAAATAAGCTATTTGAATGGCATTAGGTCTCACCTTGACAAATATCAGACTGGTCAGGACTGCAAATTCCCTCATCTAAGCTTTCTCTCTACTTCCCCGCATGGGTCCTGCTCATTCTTGCTGCTTTTTCTCAAGAAAAGTACAAATTATTCAGTGAATTCCTGCCTCCTATTTATAATAATCACACTCCTACCTCGCCTTACCAAATACCTTCACCTGTTACCCTGACTGGACTCTTCCATTTTCTGAAACTTCCTCCCCGTCATCGCTATAGAAATAATGCTATTTTATTCCAGAGTAGTCAACTACTTTGATCTCTGTAGAGCCCAAAAGTTTAAATCTCAGAGAGCCACATTATTTCTGATAATTTCCAGTTAGAGGTTTGTGAGGATGGGGTTGGAGAAGAGGTGTTTAGGGGAGATGTACACTGTCTGTATAGCCCTATAAACCTTCCAAATAATGACCTCAACCTGGACAACAAGCCAAAGAGGCCCAAAAGTTTATTTTATTTGGATCATTAAGTATATTGCACACTGAAGAATGACAGATATTATACAAAGATCAAAATTAAGACAAGAACTTAGCAGGTTCATCTTGCAAAATAGTCGATTACAACTGGTGGTTCCACAACCTGTAAGTCCCACTGGATGTCTTAATAGAAAAAGTGCACACACATGAAAAAAAATGTCAACCACCATTTAGGCCATCAGTAAATCAATATTTGGGATAGTACAGAATATAGTAAAATGTCTCATGTTACTTAATTTCATACAAAAATGATGTCCATAGTAAATGAAAATGTATTCCATCCATATCATATAAAATATGTCCTTGGGGCACAAGGATGCTTAAGTTTTTTGTTGATAATTAAAACATACAAGAAAATCATTTTTATACTTCTACTAAATGTCACTGGATGGAATAAGACAAGTTCACATCTGAGGCAACAGGGAATCCGGTGAGGACATCACCCACGTGATCTCGTCAGTCAGGCAGGGATCCAGTGAGCACATCATCCACGTGATCTAGTCAGTCAGGGGATCCAGTGAGCACATCACCCACGTGATCAGTCAGGCAGGGGATCCAGTGAGAACATCATCCACATGATCTAGTCAGTCAGGGGATCCAGTAAGGACATCACCCATGTGATTTAGTCAGGCAGAGAACCAGTGAGGACATCACCCACGTGATCTAGTCAGTCAGGGGATCCAGTGAGGACATCATCCACACGATCTAGTCAGTCAGGGGATCCAGTGAGGACATCACGCACGTGATCTAGTCAGTCAGGGGATCCAGTAAGGACATCACCCATGTGATCTAGTCAGGCAGGGATCTAGTGAGGACATCACCCACATGATCTTATCAGTTAGGGGATCCAGGAAGACATGGCCCATGTGATCTAGTCAGGCAGGGATCTGGTGAGGGCATCACCCACGTGATCTAGTCAGGCAGGGATCCAGTGAGGACATCACCCACGTGATCTAGTCAGTCAGGCAGGGCTGTAGCTGTGCCAGCAATTCCAGGACCTACTTCTCATTCTTACAGGTCCAGAGAGGGACACAAGCAATATATCCCAAAATTATCTCTGTGACATATTTATTCTACCCTAAAACAGAACTGGTACACCATCCAGAATGTTCATTTATTTAATGATAATTAGGGCTCCATTTCCCTCCAGTGACTAAAATTAATGTTATTCCTAAGTTTCAGAGGAGACACATAACCCCATATTACAGTCACCCAATACTGCTTTATAAAGCATTACAAAGAGAATTATAGGAACTTTCCAGTGAATTTCCATCAGGAAAGATGAAAGAATAAAAGGATATTTTTAAGATTTAAAAATGTAATCAAACATTAATCTGAACACAGCCTATGGAGAACAGGTAATTCAATTGGGTAATTATTTAAACAAGTCTCACTCAGTGAACTTTAAAACAGACACTCTAAACTTGAGAAGAAATGTTCTGTATGTGTGTATCCCCAGGGGCTGGCACAGAGGCTAGAACTTAGTAGATGCTCTTTAACTATTTTCTGAGTATATCATGGAAGAAATGTACTCCTCTAGATCATCATCATAAATTTTCTATCCTGGAAAAAATGTTAATTAAAGGCAAAAGTAATGAGTCCATAAAAATAAAATCTTGTTGTTCACTTTGAAATATGAACTAAAAAGCATAACCACAGGCAGAAAATTAGTGAAAGAAACAAGCTTTCATGAAGATGACTATCACTCATTATAATCTGTTTTGTTCAGAAAATCTACACAAAATTTTGTTATATTTGCTTATTAACAGTAACAATTACAGAATGAGACAGGTAACTCATTCTGAAGTAAGTGAATAAAAATAGCTATATATAGGGGCCAGTGTTGTGATGTAGCAGGTAACACCACTGCCTGCAATGCCAATATCCCATATGAGTGCTGGTTTATGTCCCAGCTGCTCCACTTCTGATCCAGCTCCCTGCTAATGTCTTAGGAAAGCAGTTTAAGATGGCCCAAGTGTCTGGGTCCCTGCTACCCTTGTGGGAGACCCAAATGAAGCTCCTGGCTCCCGGTTTCAATTTGGCCCAGATCCAGCTGGTGCAGCCACCAGGAGTGAGAGTATGGATGGGAGATCTCTCTCTCGATCTCTCTCTCTCTCTCTCTCTCTCTCTGTAAATCTTCCAAATAAATAGATCTTTAAGAAAAAAAGTACATATGAAAACTATTCTTATTACACAAAAGCACTCTCTGGGAATCTGTAACATGGCATTATAAAGCAAAAATTCCCCTCTGTGGGCTATAAGGAAACCTTTCAAAAACTAAACAAATTTCATTGATTACTCTGATACTTTCAATACCAGACAGCTGTACTTTTCGGGGATATCTTTCATGCTATCATCATTTATCCTGCACCAACCACAGGGGCCCATAGTTCCCTAAAGCTGGTTCTGTGATTGGATTCTGCCACAGGCATTTGATATAAAAGTGCCTCTTCCCTGGTGGATACTCACCACCACCATCAACACACAAATTTACACTGGGAGCCCATAAAGCGAGAGTCAAGACGAAACTTACCAAGCACAATGACCACTGTCTTCAGAAGACTCATCATGGTGTCCCGATTCCTCCGGGGTCCAGAACTATGTCGGGACATCCTCATAGTCCTCTGGCGAACATAGCCAAAGATGTGAGCGTAGAGAACCACCATGACCACAAAGGTCACCAGGTTGAAAATGGCCCAGAAGACTAAGTAGGATTCACTGTAGAGGGGTGCCATGTTGGAGCAGTGCTCAATATCACAGATACAGTTCCAGCCCACACTGGGGATAGCACCCATGATGATGGCCATAGTCCAAATAACCACGATGACCACTACCACGCGCCGGTTGCTCATCCGTGTGTGCAGCTGCATGCGGAAAACTGTGATGTGCCTCTCAATTGCAATGGCCAGCAAGTTGGCCACCGACGCTGTCAGGCTAGTGTCAATGAGGCCCTGACGGAGGAGCCACGTGCTAACCGTCAGTCTCCGCGTATTGGGTCCTGTGTTGAACATCAAGTAGAAGTAGGCCAACCCTGCAAAGAAGTCTGCAGCGGCCAGATTAGCCATTAAGTAATAAATAGGAAAATGGAAGCGGCGGTTGACGTAGATTGCCACCATGACCAGTAGGTTGGCCAACATGATGAAGATACAGACCGTAATTCCAAGTCCCATCACCAGCTTGCTCACTGTGTTCCATTCTGTGGCAAGGTACTTTCCACTCCGGTTATAAAAGAAGGCAATGGACTCATTGTAGAAGCACTGGGGTTCGTTCATGGCTGTGAACTAAATGGGAGGAAGGATAGAAAGATGAGGAATAAAGAAAAAAAGAAGGCATATATCAAACTCAAAGACAGATGTGCATGTATATATATATATTATATACACACACACACACATACATAAATACATAAGGCTTTTATGGTGGTATACAGCAGAAAAATAAAAGCGAAGAATCTGAAAATCTGACTTTCTATGATGTTCTGTGATCATGCTAAAACCCCAAGGTTTCTCACAGTATTACTGTCCTCTAGATTAAAGACAGTTGGAGTCAAATAAATGACAAGGTCTCTTGCTTGGTGGTTGCGTGTCATTGAAGTCTACTAGAAAAGCCACATGACCCAAAAATCTTGCTTAAAATACATGAGACAGACAAGAATTTTACAGAACGTTGCAATTGGAGTATTTACCATAGTGAAATCTATTTCGACCTGTTATTTAGGGAATCTGTAAACACAGTTGGTTTATAGATAGGGTATCATTGCCCTATTATTTTGCACTTCTAGTCTCACATAGTATCTTCAATCTGTGACAGACATTTTATAATGCAGGTTCCCACAGGGACCATCCATCCCAACATTTCAAGGAGGTCACTATGCATCAAAGCTTCTTTGGCCAGAGCCAGCATTTGCTGTTCTACATTCCTGTGGTCAGCACAGCCTACCCCCACGACTCCTTATACCCAGAATAGCATTCATCAACCAATCTGTGACGTTGGAGGATCTTTTTCTTTTTGGAGCACCTAAGATAACCTCTCAAGAGCTTTTGGCACTTTGCTCTGCAAGAAATCAAACATACTGAGACTGCAGGAAGTATCATAATAAGTAACACTACCTGTTTATGTTTCCTTATTTTGCAATATTATTGATTAGAATACACGGGCCTATGATTGGTGCTCTTATTTGAATCTAAAAAGGATAGAGACAGCTTATCATAGAATAATATCTGTACTCAGTAAAACTATTTAAACAAAATTAGAATGTAGAAAGTTACATGGGAGAAACTAGGAAATTTTTTTTTTTTTTTTTTTTTTTTTGACAGGCAGAGTGGACAGTGAGAGAGAGAGACAGAGAGAGAAAGGTCTTCCTTTTGCCGTTGGTTCACCCTCCAATGGCCGCCGCTGCAGCCGGCGCACCGCGCTGATCCTGGCAGGAGCCAGGAGCCAGGTGCTTTTCCTGGTCTCCCATGGGGTGCAGGGCCCAAGCACCTGGGCCATCCTCCACTGCACTCCCTGGCCATAGCAGAGAGCTGGCCTGGAAGAGGGGCAACCGGGACAGAATCCGGCGCCCCAACCGGGACTAGAACCCGGTGTGCCGGCGCCGCAAGGTGGAGGATTAGCCTATTGAGCCACGGCGCCGGCTCAGAAACTAGGAAATTAAATATCACATAGAATAAATCCCTCATCCCAAAGCATCTAGTTTGTCCAAAATTTCTAGAATTAGAAAATATTTCTTAAGGACAGTTCACATTTTACTTCTTTCTTTTTATCTTGCTTTGTGTGGGGAGCAACCCGGACTGGACTGAGTTACTGGAATTAAGACTTATTCTATGCATCTGCTCTCCCACAATATGGCGCTGGGAGAGGAGAAAACAGCTTCTACGCAGCTGCCTCTTGCCAACTTGAGTGCTGACCTCCAGGAGCTGATCCTGCTCCTGATTGGAGGAGAGCAGCGTACTCGGCGTGTGGGCAGCCGAGTTGGGATTGGCGGAGGAGGACTATAAAGGAGGAGAGAGACGGCATGCACCAGGAACATCTAAGGGGAACATCTTTTTTTTTTTTTTTTTTTTTTTTTTTTATAAATTTCCAAAGTACGACTCATGGGTTACAATGGCTTTCCCCCCCCCACCGTCCCTCCCACCCACAACCCTCCCCTTTCCCACTCCCTCTCCCCTTCCATTCACATCAAGATTCATTTTCGATTATCTTAATATACAGAAGATCAGCTTAGTATACCTTAAGTAAGGATTTCAACAGCTTGTTCCCACACAGAAACATAAAGTGAAAAATAATAGATGATTTTTTTTTAAATCATGATGAAATCAGATCAGACCTATTGTCATGTTTAATCCCAGTGAGAGTCAAGTTGGGAATTGATAATTTCTTTTTTTTTTTTTTTTTTTAACAGAAGATCAGTTTAGTGTACATTAAGTAAAGATTTCAATCGTTTGCACCCCCATAGAAACACAAAGTGAAATATACTGTTTGAGTACTCGTTATAGCATTAAGCCTCAGTGTACAGCACATTAAGGACAGAGATCCTACATGAGGAGTAAGTGCACAGTGACTCCTGTTGTTGACTTTACAAATTGACACTCCTGTCTATGGCATCAATAATCTCCCTATGCACCAGTCATGAGTTTCCAAGGCTATGGAAGCCCCTTGAGTTCTCCGACTCTTATCTTGTTTAGACAAGGTCATAGTCAAAGTGGAGGTTCTCTCCTCCCTTCAGAGAAAGGCACCTCCCTCTTTGAAGACCTGTTCTTTCCACTGGGATCTCACTCACAGAGATCTTTTTGCCAGAGTGCCTTGGCTTTCCATGCCTGAAATACTCTCATGGGCTTTTCAGCCAGATCCGAGTGCCTTTAGGGCTGATTCTGAGGCCAGAGTGCGATTTAGGACATCCGCCATTCTATGAGTCTGCTGAGTATCTCACTTCCCATGTTGGATCACTCTCCTAAGGGGAACATCTATCTGAAGGAACACCTGTGCAGCCCCCCGAGAGAGCCAGCCGGCGGTGTGCCGCTCCCCCGCGGAAGTGGGGAATGTGGCAGGGGGTGGAAGGGACGGTAGCCAACCCGGGAAGAACCAGCAGCAAACCCGGGGAGGGCCGAGCAGACAAAAGAACAGCGCAGGGTCTTGTGTCGTTCCTCCACGAAGAGGGGGAGCGACACTTTGTTTCTGATAAATTGCTTAGCACATATGATAGTTTTAACACTATTTTTGATGAGATTTTACTTACTATCCATAGTCTGTGCAGATGTTTATCAAACACTGACAATTTTGAAAGCAGGATAAGACACGTGTGTGGTTAGCCTTCCGACCTGGCCCAACACTAAAGCCCCTTTCCTCACATCTAGACTCTACTGGATTTTAGATCAGGATTCCAACATCACACCTAATATGCTGTATATTACTCTATCATACTCCAGCATAAGAGTGAAGACCTGGTCTTACAAATGTTGGTATCTTATGTGCCTGCCTAAGTGCCTCATTCATGGGTGATCAAGGAACTTGACCTCCTGTGCTCCGATCCACCCCAAATTATGCCATTACTATGAGTAATTCACCTAAATTTCTTGCCCCTCGTTTTCTTGATGTCATCTCTAATAACTTCTATTCCATTACATCTCAGTCACCCACACCCAGTGGTTACACCCTGGACCGTGTAACCACCCAGAACTACCTCCCTTTGGAAATAAGTGAGATAGTCTAATTACTCATCAACACCTCCCCCACTACAAAGTTGTCCTCATTTGATCCACCAAACTTCAGTGCTTTGAATGTGTCTGTGTCCTTGACCCTTCTGCTTCCCCACCCCCCGTGCATTACCCTCCCCACTTTCCCTTCCCCTTATCTGCCTAAGATTCCACAGTATATCATTCCAACCTCCTCACTGCTAACAGGAACACACTCACTTCTTGAAGACATTTGAGGTCAGATGTCCTTCAAAATTTTTCTGGTTTTAAGAACAGTTATACACTACATATTCCAAATGTGCTGTCACTCCCCAGCACTCTATAGGCACACACATTAACTTGTGAAGCAAAATATATGGGCATATATATTTGGTAAGTGGAGACTATAAATAACTTCACAACAGTTCATTCAGAAAAGTTTTGACACCAAATGAGTAATGAGAAACCTTCAGTTTTCTGTTTCCTGAATCTTGGAACTTTTAGATAAAGGAGAGAAGCATTTATCTTTTAATCTCTTTTCTTCACTGTACCTCCAAAACAACGTACTAGAGTAACAGTCTTGGATGAATCCAACTTGCTGTTATCCTTCTGATAAATGTTAGACAAAATCAACATAGCTGCAGATTGCTCTCAGGATAATTTTAAGATGTTTGTCTTCAACTGGAACTTCAATGCCACACAAAAACCTGTTTTCCCCTCATCATTACTATATTTATTCTACACAATGGCAATTTTAAACTTATGTGCCATTCTCAAAGTTTTGAGCCCTATCTTCTCTCTCTCCATCAGCATTTGCCAAAAAAAGAAAAATAGAAATCATCAACTTGGAACTCCCTCATTTTCTCCCAATAAAAGACAAAATTCCCTTTTCAATAGTAAGTCCTTCTTTTCTCCTCTTCTGTTACCACAGCAGTGCACCCTTTTCCACCCAAGGGCTCTGGATCCCATCCCTTCCTGCTGTTCCGAGAACCTCATTCTAGCAATTGCTTCCTTTCTCTTCCCTCTCTCCAGGTTCTTCTCCTTCCTCCTTCTATTCTATTCTTTCCTGCTCTTGCTCTGCTTTCCCGTTCCCCTACCACCTCCTCTCCCTCCACTGCTATTCTTCCCTTCAACATTCAAGACTAAGTCTCTGTCGTCTTAGAAAACAGAAACAAGAAAAGGTCCCCATGATCACAGGCTCTCCTCCGAGCTCTGATCCTTTCTCCTTCACAGTGAAGTCCTCCCTAACGTCTGTGTGCCACTGATTTCCTACAGAATGGCTGCGGTCCCCACCTCTCCACTAAATGCACCCTAGTCAAATCCTTGAGATTCATTTACCTTCTCAGTCATCCTGATCCTTGTGTAGCTATTCTATCCTAACGGAAACTTTTCAGTTCTCCCCTCTTGACCAAGAGGCTCTTTATGGAAAATTCTCTTTCCTTGGCTTCTGTGACATTATACCCTTTTGGGTTCCGATTCTTTTCCATGGCTGGTCTTTCCTAATCATTTTTGGAGGCTCCCCTTCCTCTGCCCAATATGCATGTTTCTGCACTATTTGTGTCGTCAATCATTCAATAATTTCAGAGAATTATCTATTTAGATTTCAACTA